TCTTTAAGAAGGTTTTAAATAGTTATGTGTGATGAACAATATTACATACTTTTATATGGTGATGTTTAGTGGCTCTTTTATGCTTATTGATGATGTTTATGTAAAAACTCTTAAAGTCTTTGTTGAAATTATTTATGTTTTATATGCTCTTCCGTACGACTTCTGTTCCCGCCCCGATATTATCGGGCTAGCCGGGCCGGGTCGTGACAGAGCTAAATTAGATGGAAATTATTCTGACTAAAGTTAATGGGATCTTTATCCCTGTAGCTAACTAAGAAAAAGTAAGCCGCAGCACACAGGATTAGGTCAATCTTTATGATGCTCAAGCATAGGCAAGGGGCAACGAATGCAAGCGCATAACTACAGACACATAATAAATAGTAGCTCAAAATTATGCAGTAATATGTTATGCACACAACATAAAGCTTTTTTTTTATTTCATCAGAAGGTATTTATTAAATTTAAAAAGCTTAAGGATTAAGAAAATCAACAAATTTATATTGGCCTTCATTTATTCAAAGAATTTGGATTCAAGCATACGATTAAATATCATAGAGCCAATAAACGAACATGAACCAAACTACTGATTTAAGAAAAATGAACTGACTATCTAAGTGATTCAAAAAACCATCGGTGTCAGAACAATCAAAATACTATATTAACAAAACAAAAACTGTATAGATTTATGTAATTTCCCAAATGTAAATACATGATATGAAAACACAAGCATGTCCTCCAATTGAAGGGCAATTTATGCAGCAATGCTACAAAGATATAATATATATGAAGGCACGAAAAGGAGTCAAAAAGGGCAATCCAACAAATAATACCTAGCACAAAAACATAGATGAAAATAAAGCTGGACAAGCATATTAAATCATGAGCTGTACTTCAGTAAATTGAAGTTGTAGTACCTGTATGGAAAAAGTCGCTCAACAATGTTGTCAACAGCAATATTAGAAGCAGCACATGCAAGGATCTTGGAACCACGTTTAATTTCTTGCAGTATTATCTCCACAATAGTGGTTGTTTTACCGGTTCCAGGAGGTCCGTGAAGCAAAAAAACATTACCAGAAGAGAGGGCTTTGGAGATAGCATCTCTCTGCACTAATGTGGAGTAGTTTAGTGCACGTATAGAAATCAAAGTTTTGAAAAACAAGTGCACAAAGATAACCAGTAAACCTTAAAGAAACTGAAATGCTCATTTGAAGTATTTTACTGGATAGCATAATTCATTAAACTAAGCAACCATCAAAACAGCAATAGTGATCTCAACGCAATACTTCCATGCAACCACAAAAAAATTAAATGAGTTTGATCCATGGCACATTACTACTGGCCACACTCAATATAGTAGCACAGTCAAACAAGCACATACAGGCAAACTCATGTGAACAAATAAGTAGGTAGATACAAATCTTTCGGCCATACTTTGTAATTATCATATGAAGCATTCCGAGAATCATTACGATTTTGCATTTGTACTCAACAAAATGCACACAACTTTAAGCAGAAGATATAAAAGAACATCTAGTAATTCTTCATCTCCTAAATATATTAACAAGAAAAATGGGTAAAGTTTCTAATCACAATTCCATCATGTAGTATTGGCATCCCACTGTTCAGAGAAAGATTCCAGTCTCCTATAAAGAAGCTCACAACAGCCAGGATGAAAATTGGTCAAACAAAACAAGCTAGAGTTGATAAGGGAGGATACACAGCTGATTTCTGCCATCATATACTCACCTTACTCAAATTCAATCCCAATGCTCTATTCAACCACTCCTCTCCTAAGAAGCAGGTATTTCGGGCAATGAGAATTTGGTACAGGCTGGAGTTGAACATTAATGGTTTACAAAAAAAATTTGGTAGAAATCTATCCATTAAGACAACCAGAAGCGATGCGATAGTGGTTATTTGGGCAATTAATTTTGTTATGAAAATGGAAGCTTACATACATGAGCAAAAGCACCTGTAGGAATAGCGTCAACTCTTGGTGTTCAGAATGGTTTGGCTCCGCATGCACCAGAATTGTTTACTAGGAAGTTTGGAGGGTAGGCATGTTCTGCAGGTGTGAAAATAAGAGTGCATATAGAAAGTTCTATAAGAGCAAACGCAGATACTTCTCTCAATTTTTATAAGAAAGGAGTAAGAAATGTTTACCAGTAACTTCCAAAAAAAATTTGTTAAAACCAAATCTCCAACAAACTATAATTTCACAAAAAAACATCTGCTATCAGGAATAAATATTTCTTATATATATTATTGACTAAATACTTTGCCTCTTTACATATCAAAATGAAGGATATAAGGAAATAAGGAGGAGAATAACCTCAACTATCAGGATATAATATAACTATAAAAAAAAAACACACATCTTACTAGTCTAATGCTTTCTTATCCTTAACCTTCAAATCTAGTAATTCTCTATGATAACACAGCCACTCAAGCTGGAGCATGTTTAGGAAGATCCCCACCTAATACCAGATCGATCATATGATCAATAACTTGATAAGGAAGCATCTCTTAGTCAGCTTTAGAGGAATCTCTTGCACAAATCCCTCCAACACAAGCACCATGGCATTTGAAACAACAGCATTCGCACCAGGCTTCACTACCATCAGGGTATTAGGATAACAAGAATCATCTATTCCCATTTCTTAATCTATCCTCACTAGCAATCCCAACGGCCATTTTGGCTGCAACAACATCCTTTTTTTTTGGATTTTAGCAACACACTGCAAGCAAAAAAGCAAATATTTCACTAATTTGGATCAAAATTTCATTCAAATAAGGCATCCATGCGAATTTTTCCTCTTCGAAGAAATTGATGCCTAGAATTATATCAAAATCATCCAAAGGCAGCATTGTTGTATAGACCTTCCCTATGAAAGCACCCACACAAATCTGCATATCGTAGGACAAACCAACAATAGAGTGCGCCTTCAAATTCAAAGATTTCACCTTACTGGCAATTTTGTCATTCTAAAGAAAAACTGTCCGCCAATCTTTTGGCCACAAATACACGGGTAGCATTAATTTCCAGCATAGTAGCAACATTCATATTGTTTATAGTAGGGGTGTCAAAACGGGTCTTCGGGTCGGGTTCCGGTCCAACCCGAACTTGACCCGCTATCAAATGACCTGACCTGAATCCAATCTAGTTATGGAAATGGGTCAGGAATCCGAACAAGAACCCGACCTAAATTGGGTTCGGGTCAACCCGAATTGACCCACCAACTCGGATGTGTACATGGGATATATTGCATATGATGAGTCTCCTACCCCGTAAATATTTGCACTTTGCCGCATACCATCTACTCTTGCTTATAAGGAGCTTGTATATTTTTTTAGCATTTGATTATTGCTGATCGTAGGAGTGTTATAACGTTCATTGCATGTTGAATCATTTTTGCTCGCAAGGGAGAGATGTATTTGCTTGCATGAAAGACTCATAGGTGAGTTAAACTCACTACGACCCTCCTATTCATGTTTGCTAGTGACTCGTTGAATTCATAGCATATGAATTTCAATAACCCATAAGAGATCAATGTGTCCATAAGTAGATTGTAATTGACCATCGGGTTGATTGTGTTAATTGTTGCTTCACATACATTAGCCGCCCACTTGCCACATTCACTTGTGTGCTAATGTCCTTGTGCTTATAAGAGACCGGTATAATAGCTCTTATTTATTTCCATTATAAACCTTTTAGAGAAGTATATAAAATTACACTTTGTACATAATCAAACAATAAAATTAAAAGCTGTTTATTCTACTTTTCCACATATTCAAAACCACAACAATAGAAGGTGAGCTGGTCCAGTTGTCCGCCATCTCTTGAATCCTAAATATCCTTTTTTAAGCTATAGCAATTGGCCCCAGATTTTCCAGAGGATTATGACCGCCATTAGTCTTCTGATGAGAGTTCTCAACACCACGAGCAAGTCGATGGTGGCCATACCATATGGTACCAACTTATATATGCCACTAGAATAGCTAGTGAATGACGAATCTTAGCTTGTTTGAGTTCCAAAAATCTATCATGGTTATCTTATTATGCCATTTTGTTGATATTTTTCTTATTTGAGTATTCATTGACGCAAAAGGTCTTTAATTTTATCTCTTCAAAAGTCTCGGTATAAATCTGTTATCTTGACATTTGGAGAGTGATTTGATGAATGAATGGAAGGAATTCTCTCATAACGACTGATTTTCTTGCCCTACCGTTACCCCCCTCTCTCTACCCAAAAAAAAAATCCACAACACATTTTCCATCCCCAAAAAGAGCCAACAGCCAGCTAAGTGTTAGCCAACAAACTGCTTATCCAAAACGGAGTAGGACAGATTTGGATTAGGTCTTCAAGTTATTGTAGAACCTAAAACTCCTTGACAGGCACAATAAAACCAGCCCAACACGGTTTACAACCCAATTCAAATTAGTATTGAGAATATTGAATTTTGCAAAAGAAATTGCTCGGATAATCACCAGTTGCAGCATTTATTAGGTTTACCGGTGAGTGGTGGGTGGCTTTAGGCACTCAGCAGCATTTTGCAACTTAAACCCGCGATATCTTAAAGCATCTAGGTCATCAAAAATGGCACAGATTGATATTTAAGACTCAGTTTTGAAAATGTACTGCTCACATAGACGGTTATAAAAAAAAATAATGTTTTGTGAGTGTTTGTCATAAAAAATAACTTACAAATTGAGCTTTCTTGTAAATAAAGGGAAAAGTTATTAAGATCTGACAACAAGTACAGAAACAATATAACACAGAAGAAAGAGAACCTGGGAATGATCAAGAGTTTTGTTAAATGGAGAAAATTGCATAATCTTCTTTGTAGTAGTAGGTAGTTTCTCTCCAAACAAAACAGGAATCATTTCTACAGCTGGCCCCTTATGCTTACTGAGTTGAATTAAGGCATCCTTCATCCTGCGGTAGGTTACCTATAAATATAGCATAGAAATGTGCATATAAATGCATTCATCTTGCCATAGCTAGCATATATAAAAATTTGAATCAGATTTTTTGTATGTGCATAAAATGATGATTAGAAACAAAGTTGAGATTCAGTCTTCGTTTGGGACGACTTCTTACTGCTTTTTCAAGCAGCTTTTTAATACAAAATTTTTAATTGATATACTAAGAAGCTGTTTTACGAAGCAATAAAAAAGCCGTCCCAAACAAAGCCTCAATTGATTGAGAATATATCAAGCAGGTAGAGCCTTCGTCAGCATGTAGATATTGCCCATTGGAAAGACCATATTAAATAGCAAATTCATCAAGTTCAGGAATAAACCATCATGGTCCATGTACTCGTACCAGAAAGGCGCAACTAATATTTGAGAAAGATACACCTTTTCGAACTGAAGCCAAAAGGTGCACATGTTTTATTAAAATGACTTACAAAATTAACAAATAATACATTTAGACTGACCTTGTAAGGTGCACTAGGAAACTATAAGCCAGAGCTCCAATATTAAAAAATATAAAATTAATAAATATACATGAAAATAGTAAGGTAAACTATTCATAAATATGAGTAGAAATAAGTTAAATAAAATTAATTTGATTTAGGGTGATGTGAATGAGTAGCATTGCCTGAACCTTTTAGGCTACAAATAAAAAATACTGCCACCACAGGAGTACAGAAATTTACAACCACTGCAGGTAAACCAAAATGGACATAAAAGTTATTAAGACGCTAACAAACTATAAACAAGAGCATCGATAATGTACCTCATTAGCAACCTTCTCAAGACGCAAGGGGCTGTTCAACCCATCTTCAGGAATTTCATCGAAAGCAACAGTAATGGAAGAATCCTGTTTATTTCAATTTCACACCCTTAAGAGCATAAAGGATGCAATTCTTTATACCGTAGGGTTTGTAGAAATAATCATTTAAATCTAGCTGAATATTTAAAGAATAATAATAATACCTTTAAACGGTAAACTACACCCTGTCCAAGTGAAGAAGAACCTTGATCAGCTTTGTTTGGTTTCAGAACAACCACATCATGAGTGGAAAACTGCATGTAAAATTTAAGAAGCCAACGGAATTATATGAAGAATGCTAGAGAGGAATGCCATAACAAGACAGGATCCAGATCAATCCATCTGGAAAATATGAAAAGTAGATGCTTCACTTTAATCTCTTCAAAGTTAGCAAATGTAGAGGCCGTACAAAGCTAGCTTTAAAACTGTTAAATTTAGAGAATTCAAAAGGGAAAAAGCTTAATTTTATCATACAAAACTATCCCTTTTATAAATCTATAAAATATATCTTAATAAAGAAACAAATAACTACAGAATCATGCATAATTAGCTTTACATAATCCTTCCTAAATCAGCCACCCAAATATAGAAGGAGATCGGCATGATCTAGGTGAGCCACCCATGGATCCCCATGCTAGCCGTGGAATCAACGGCCAAGGGACAGCTGAGATTTAACAACGTAATCCAAATGAGCCTCCCACGAATCCCCATACTGGTCGTGGGATCAAGGGATGGTTGGGATTTTAATAGTCACCCTCAAGCTAGGGAATACAGCTATATCATTCCCAACTTGATAATTAGTCTCATAAAAGTAGCGTTATCAAGTCTCTTGGTGCACCATAGAGTCTCCATTTGATAAAATTTTGGGAGAAATTAGCTTCAAATATTGCATTATTAAAGGGTAGCAATGAAGACTATATTAAGCAGAGGAAAAATGAAGGTTGCATTGGTTATAGATAGGATAGCAACAACAAGGGAAGACCGGCAATAAAAGCACGGCAGTAGAAAAAAATTATTTTTAGGGTTGCGGCAAGCTTAGAGGACAATACGCAAGAGGAGGTTTTGTGCTGACTTATCACGCTTCTGCTCGGTCGACTTTTGACGTTGCGCACAAGAGGAGCCCTCCCGCTCGATCTCTCCTCGGTCTCGGACACATGAAGAAAGCAGAATGGCTAATATTCTTTAGAATTCCAGCAATGAAGGTCTGTGGAAGGAATAGTATTCCTCATAATTCTAACAATAAAGACTAATGGTGGGAACTTGTATTCCTCATAATTCCAGCAATGAAGGCTGGTGGTGAGAACCTATATTCCTCAGAATTTTGGCAATGAAGGCCGGTGGTAGAAACCTGTATTCCGTAGAATTCTAACAATGAAAGCTAGTGGTAGGAACCTGGAGAACCAAAAAACGCCAGCTCCTCCAGGGTAGGATAAAGTGCTTCAATCTCTCTGTAGCCTCACCCTCAATATCCACGATCGACTCCCTAGTTAGGGAAGTAGCGTACTTCATCATCTGCGTGCTCACGAACTCTTCGATCACCATAAGCACGCACTGGACCATCACAATGACCTACATTACCACAAAGAAAGCCATCTATTTCCCCACCGCACACATCGTCTGGGCAACTCCATGTATATGGATCGTTCCATCGGTGAACTTCGAATCCAACGAATCGACTTTAGTCCAAATCAAACCAACAAGGTTCTCAATGACGATTTCATCAGCAACAACGAAGAAGGCGAGAACGTAGGTTACGAAGAGACGTTCATCGGATTTAAGAGATTGATCCCAGTGGAGGAGATCTTGGGAGAGTTCGACTTCTTCTACTATACAGGAGGAGGCTTCGGCCTTATTGTACGTCTCCCAGATCTAAGGATAGCAAATCGAAGACATGTAGAAGCGGTCGGGATTTGGTGGGCTCTTCAAGTGGAGGATTTGATGGCGTGTACAGCAACTTTTCAACTACTCGTTCCTTGCTCGATTCGTAATAAGAAATGCTTGTAGAAATTAAGAGTTCTGTCGGTTGAATTTGAATTTCAGCGCTTTGCAAAATAGATTTGAGAAGAACATGGAAGAATAACCATAAATAAACTTTTTTTAATAGATAATAGTAGAAGAACAACACAAGATACAATGGATCTTCTATTGGAGAGGAAGATCCGACTCTCCCAAAACTCAAGACGCAGCTAGAGCCCAAACAAGAACTAAGAACCACAAATTTCAGCAAAAATAGAGATGAAAAACAAACCCTAGAAGTAATTACCCCTTAAACAAATATTAATTCACCCTAATTACACAATAGCCAACCCCCCCCCCCAAAAAAAAATGAAATTTCCATCCTAAATCCCCACTAAATTCCCCCATAATTGGGCTTGTAGCCCCCACCGGCTAGGCTAGGGCGGAACCCCTTGTTCCACCTCCTATAGACCCAAGTCAGCCCTGGTTGGACTGACTAGACCGGTACATGGACCAGTCTAACAATACTCCCCTCCCAAGGAATCACCTTTTCCTCAAGGTAAAAGGATGGTGTTTCACCCTCTCATATGGCTCCCAAGTAGCATCATAATCAGGTGGGCTATTGAACTTAATCAACAATTCCTTGGGTTCTCCCTCTCCCTAGCATACCCCATTAAGCTCCAGTGGTTTCAAAATCACCTCCAGATCCTCTGGCCGTGTCTCTGGTAATTCTGAACTAGCTGCATGATTCGCAACAACTTTCCTCAACTATGATACGTGGAACACTGGGTGTATGGAAGTGGTCAGGGTAACCTCAAGAGATAAGCCACTATTTTAATCCTCTCCAATACCTCATAAGGGCCAAAGCACCTCGGAGCTTGCTTCTCATTTAACAGGGGAAGAAAGCCATATAAATAGGCACCACCATATGACAAGACAAAAGACACAAATGCCCTTGGGCTTACAACATAACATTAAGGAAAAATTCACAAATGTCCTTATGTTCTAGTATTATGATATTATATATGTATTTGTCTATGTTTATGGCAAGAAAGACTCTCTTAGTTTGCAATCTTAAATTGTGTTTTTTTTTTTTTTTTTTTTTTTTTTTTTTTTTTTTTTTTTTTTTTTTTTTTTTTTTTTTGCATCAATTTGATATCAGAGCTTTAGATTGTAGGTCATGCCTTCCTTTCTTTCTAAACAAAATCAAAAAATAAAAAATTAAAAAAAAAAAAAATTGGAAAGCCAAAAACTCAATAGGCCGAAGTTCCACCTCAAGATGCAAAGGAGTCTACTGATAGTGAAAGTCAGTCTTCTATGCAGACGATCTCATCAAGAGATGAGAATTCTCCACTAAGGGAGAATTGATGCAATTAAGCTGTCCCTTGGATGCTATCTGGATGCTGGATGTGCGTTAACTACATGTATTAATTGTCTTTTTTCTTTCCTTTTTTCCCCTATAAATGGAGCTGTTTTGTGATAGTTTTTGGTAGGATATGTGATGATTTTTTGAAGGTAAACCTGCGGGTTTGTTCTAGCTTGCGAGCTAGCCTCCTTCCCCTTCCCCTCTACTATTTCATATGGGTCTTCTACCACTTTTTCTCTATTCATGGTTCTCGCCCCATCTGTATCTTTCTTCTCTTAATATATAAGTTGTAAGGTGTTGTGTTCTAATATTATGATATTATATATGTATTTGTCTATATTTATGGTAAGGAATACTCTCTTAGTTTGTAAATCTTAAATTGTGTGTGTTTTTTCTTGCATTATAATGGATCTCAAGATCATATCCTAATAGCTTTAACAACCACCTCTAATGCTCCTCGATCAGCATCCACTGCTCCAACAGAAACTTCAAGCTCCTCTGATCTGTCCTGACAATGAAATGCCGACCCAACAAGTATAATCGTTATTTCTAAATGAGTCAAATGACTAACATAATGGCCATCAACTCCCTCTCATAGACGGACTTCAACCTAACTCTGGTTGTCAACACTTAGCTGAAGTAAACTATAGATTTGTGATTCTGCATGAGCATAGCCCCCAACCTATATCCTGACGCATCAGTCTCAACTACAAAAATCTGACAGAAATTTGATAGGGCCAAAATAGGTATAGTGGTCATGGTTTTCTTCAACCCATTAGTCGTGACCTCCAAACACCAAACAGCCAAGGACAAATGGGCTAAGCCCAATAAAAGAAAAAACATTGCACCAATAAATGCCAAATAAAGGAAAAAAATTAAAACTTATGCCTATATCAATTAAATTGATGTGACATAAAATATTGCAAAGACACAAATCTTCCTTTCTTACAATATAGATAAATATAAACGCTAAGATTGCAAATTAAGACACACAACTTCAAATACAAAGACAACACAGCTTTCAACTTGTAAAAAACACAACCAACTTACTATTAATAAAGTTTAGAGAAGAATGTTACAATTGGAAGGGATACCGTGGATAGAAAAAAGAGATAGGAAACCGATACAAATTATAAGAGAGATGGAGGTAGAAGACAATAGCTCGCATGCTATTCCAAACCCGCATGTTTCATACTCCAAAAATTATCACATAACTCCTCCTAAAACAGCAGCAAACAACCCCTATAAATAGGAAAAAAAGTGCAAACAACCTACCACAAGTGTCACCCAAGCAACCAATCAAAATAGGGGAAAAATCCAAAGAACAAGGCACGGCCAGCCCAGGAACCGAGCAGCTAGGCATCCCAACAGACACCAAGGGAAAGGCACGGACAGCCCAGGAACCGAGCAGCCGGCAACCCAACAGCCAGTCCAGGAACCAAACAACCAAAGAAACCCATCAGTCGTGACCTCCAAACACCAAAAAGCCAAGGATAAATGGGCCAAGCCCAATAAAAGAAAAAACATACCACCAATAAATGTCCAATAAAAGAAAAAAATTGAAACTTTTGCCTATATCAACTATGGTATTGTATCCTCTCATAAATCTCCTATATTACCTAGTCAAACCTAGGAAGCCCCTCAGCTCTCTCAGATTCCTGGGTAGAGGCTATTTTCGCATTGCCTCAATCTTGACCTGATCCGCCACTACCCCTCCTGAGATATCACATGTCCTAAGTATTCCACACTGGCCTGTGCAAAGCAACATTTCTTCAAATTGACCCATAGCTAATGTTCTTGTCAAACTTCTAGGACCACCCTCAAGTGCTCCAAATGCTCATCCACTGACCTATTGTACACCAGTATGTCATCAAATAAAACTATTACAAATTTCTGGAGATATGGTCGAAACACCTTATTCATGAGAGGCTGGAAGATAGCAAGGGCATTGGTGAGGCCAAATGGCATCACAAAAAACTCAGTGTCCCTCATGTATCCTAAACGCAGTCTTCTGGACTTCCTCTTCTATCATCCAGATCTGATGGTACCCAAACTTACTTCCATGTCATCAAAGTGTATTTTCATGTTGTCTCTATTCACTTATTTTCATATGATCTTTACTTTAGCTTTAATATGAGAACAGTGCCTTTCCATAGGGTATTCTGGGCATAGTAATTGTATGATGAATGGAAGGTAAGAGCATGTGGGACCCACTACACTCAGGGTGCTTAATTACATGTACCAACAAACAGGCATGAGTTGCACACCCACAGGTTTTCGGAGCATTAATCTATTAGTACAGGACAGGATTTACAAATCTAAAATGTTAGAAAATTTTCCTTTGCCTTAGTTAAGCAATTGAAGCTTTAAGAATCAGCTGGCCGAGCTGCTTGAATATGTAACACTGTTAAATTTCATGTGTGAGCCCTTCCTTGAAAGGGAAAATATGAATTGGATTGTGATGTCGGGTATAATGAATGCCAACAAATCTTTGGATTACATTCAAAGCCTTCACAGTAGCGCTGTCATTCAATGAATAACTCCTTTCTAATAGTGAAATCATTTTCTTCTCCTTGATAGCTGAAAGTTCAACTCGAACAAGAGAGGGATTGACCCCCACCCACGCCAGCCCAAAAACAAAAACAAAAATAAACGAACCATCCAGTAGAATTGTTACAAATAATAAAAAATAGGGAGAAAAAATTTTAGACAACAAGCAGCAAATTCTTATGCTGCAGATGTTGAATTCTTAAGACATCAAATTATAAATTTTTCAAGTCAATGAAATTAGGAAGCCAATCAAAGGATACAAGAAATATATATTTTAGTCACATCTAATCAATAATCAAATGTTAATATATGAGAACCTATTATAAAGAAACCAAACTCCTTATCCTTATTACAATCAAGCTAATCATAAAATTTCAAAAATAATATAAAAACTAGGCCATAATGAATAATAGACCAAGAAGGACTTGAAAACAGGTCTGGTTTAGCTCCTTTGTCACCTAATTTAGCTCTTGGGTTTGATATATGAGAGACTAAGCCTTTTCAAATTGATTATAGTATTGAATCACAGCTAGTCACCAACCCTTACAATATTAAAGTTTTATTGAATCTCATAGATTATTGAAAACAAATGTAGTAAGACTGATAATTATCTCTGAAACACAACATTCTCTCAATAATTAGTCGAATTTTACTTGAATCAAAATTGAAATTAGGGGTCTTCATTCAAGGATGAACCATGTGAATCTCAAAATCGACTCAATATGTCATTCACATAATTGTAAGTGTCAACACCTATACACATATACACATGCATGGATTCACAATTACATAACACATCAATAGTGTGTGTACGCATGTGCATTTGATGTATTTAATAATTTACATTTATAAATAAATTTTAAGAACTTTTAATAAATAATAATCTCGATTAGTGATTAAAATGTATATTAAAAAATTATTAAACTTTACTCGAATCAACTTGAAACTCAACTAGAGATTGATCCCTTTTAAATCCACTCAAACTTAAGTCAAAATTTAAATCTTTTTTTTCAAGTAATTTCAAGTTTAGGCCAACTCACTTGAAATCAACTTGATATTGCACCTAGCTACCATTCATGCAATATTGTATCTTTAACTACCGATTTACGTTTGATTAAAAAAAACAGTTTATAAGCAAGATCAACAAATCATATACTCATTACTACCTTGTGAGCAGGGAGAACATCACCCTTATTAGACTGAAATTCAAGAAGAGTCTTCCCCATTAATCCTGTCTGCAAAAACAATATTTCCCAATAACAAGTCAGATGAGATAGAAAAACATGCTATTGACTTGGAAAACCTTGTGCAAGCATATTCACAAACCTGAGCATCTGTACATTTAAGATTAAAAATTGAGGAGCCTCTTTTTTGAGAAGCATGCAAACTCCTCGTTGAAGATAGACCAAGAGATGCGGATATTTCAGCCTCCTTTACAAAAGAAATGGGATGTAAATCAGTTCTGCGGTAGTTTTATCGATCACAATATATGCTAAAGCTCAATATGTAAAATATGTTTGTTCCAGAATCTAAGATTTATGAGAGCAAATATCCTTAAATCAGTTAAATTGTATGAATGGTTGGACTTAACAAATCTTGGATTCAATCAATAACTAAGCGGGGTTTATAAAAACTGTATGATTTAAAGTTTCCAATGTTCCTTAGGGCAGCATTTAGGCTAATCTTGCTTAAATCCTTCCTAGAATAACATATCAAACAGCTCTAAGGTTTGCCAACTACTTAGAATCAGATTCATGAATTCACAGTTTAAAAAATGTATAAATATCTTTCCAAAACACACCAAACACTTTCTACTACAACACAAGAACATACCTGCAATTATATGAACAGGAATCCATAAATTATGCGCGCATTGTTTTCATACGCAAAAAAGTTAAATGCAAGAGTTAAGATGACAGTATTTGAGCAAAACAGATCATTGGTTCACATAAAGACATGGAAAGCAGAAATATTCAAACTTGAAATGCTTCTTCCTTCTATTCAGCGCATTCCACTAATTTTCTCCTTTTAGAATGACCTCTAATTTGTCCGATAGGTCATACTAGCCTTCGCATTTCTAAGACAAATTCAACGAAAATTTTTTGAGCTTCAATACTGACGCATCGCACAGGATAAGCTGCCCAACAACCCAACCTAAAACCCCTTTCATTTCATGATACAGACGAAACAATAATAGAAAAAATTAGCAGACAGAGAGGAAAAAAAATCAAACCTTCTCCATATCGATCAAAGGGATCATGGAAGAGATAAATTGCTCCACAGTGATCTTTTGAGATTTGCTGCGCGACATCTTCAGCCCTTCCAGTTCCATAGGTCTACAAAGTTCGATGTGCAGAATGGAATCCCGCCCCCGCGCAGTTCACACCAAATTATATAATACACGAATAGGAACGGTGTTGAAAAGTGAACATATATATTTATATTTATATTTATATTTATATATATAATTTAATAAGAACGTAATTACGTAATAAAAATATGGGGATTAACATACATGCCACATTATTTTATATTATTTATATATCTAATATCTAAAATTTTAATGATATATTTCTATCACTCATATATCAAATATATCACTCATATATTTTATTTCATACACTCATATTTATTCTATTGATGGTAGGCATGTAATATTAAAATTTTAAGGATTAGATATGGATTAGATATGTAAATAACATGAAATAAAGTGGCATGTATGTAAATCCCCTAAAAATAATTATTATGTTTGTATATTATAATCATCAAAAATAAACCTAGAAGTAAAAAAAAAAAAACTCACAATAAATTTAGACCTTATTTCAAACAGATTTTTATTGCTTTATTTTTCAAATCACAATCATAATTTTTAATTATATGATATTTTTCGTTGCTTTAAAAAAAACTCTATATTATGATATTTCCATTCACATCAATTTTTAAAAAATTATTTTCCCCGTAATAATTATATAAGCACTATTGTACTGTAGTCATTTCAAACAATCTCTTAATCAAAAAACCTATTTTTTTGTTGCAAAATTACTCATTTTATAACATTTACAATTATAAAATAAATAATTTAGATAGGAATTTTGTATTCATAAAAAAATTGCATCCACTATCTCATTTTATCTATTGAAAATATTATTTGTACACAAAAACATTATATTGATATAAAATAAAATTATATTGCCTATAAAATATATGATAAATGACCAATGATTTTTTTGGGTAAGTAATTTCAACATCATCATATCATAAATTATCATTAAATAATTAATATTTATTATCTTTTTTGCCGAATAATATGATTCTAATTTGATAATATTTGTTTTAACAAATATTGCATTATAATTCATGTATATACTTTTATTATATATAAACATAAAAAATAATAAAAATAATTTTGTGATGCATGAAAAAAATTTAAAGTAAATATAGCTAAAAAAATAAAACAAATTAAATCTATCTATCCTCCTTAAGACCTTAATTGAATTTTAGTGTATACAACATATTAAAGTATCTTCACTTTATATGCTTCAAAACATTAATTTGAACATTTTGTGCTTATTACCAAATTCTAATGCATACAAATATAGTATATCTTAATTAATTAAAACTTGGAAAAAATATTTATCCGATTATTATAAGAGAAAAAAAATATTTATTTTGATAAAATTAATGAATTATGCTTCATAAAAATAAGCTCATGGGGATAACACATGCGACTCTTTTTATTTCTCATCTCTTACCTTTTTCTTTTTTCTTTTTTTCTTTTTCTTTCTTTTTTCTTTGGTTGTGTGATATGAAAGCCCTCAACTTTAATAGAAAATTTTATGAGAAATTGGTGATACATGCAATATTTTATGGTGCCAAATATTTCCCATTAAAATAGAAACAAAATTAAGTGTTTTAAAGATGAGGACGTTCACGCAGATGAGTGAATTTACCCTTAGAGATGGAATGTGAAATAAGTATATATGTGAAAAAGTTAGAGTAGCTCCAGTGGCATATAAGATTAGAGAGAGTCGTCTTGACTGGTTTGGTCATATAAAGTGTTGGCCTTATGGTGTCCCCGTTATGAGAGTATGTGAAACCCCTTAAGAAAATGAAGCTAAACTCTTAAACATCAATGTGTTTCTTGGTGCAATGATTGAAATTTCATTAAGAATCTCCGTAGTTAAGCATGCTCATCTCAGAGCAATTATGGGATGGATGTCCTGCAATTAAAGTTACACCAACATGACATAAATGTGAGACTCTTACTTCAAAGCGGACAACATCTTGATAGTTAAGAGTTTGGGATATAATAAATGGTATTAAAGCAATACATCAGCCAGAAAATGGGAACTAATTAAGTGTCATACAAAATAAAGTGCTATGCCATGAGAGCCATCTCTTGAACCCAGCATGAGATAAATTGCTACTTGACGGGAGCCACAACTTGAACTTGTAGGGGTAACCTCTAAAATCCTACCAGCATAGTGGATTTTTTTGGGATAAAGATGCTTGTTCATATAATATGCCACACATGCCGATGAAAGTATGGTCCCAAATCATAAAACCATTCAGAGGCATCAACGAAGCTCGTTCTTATAATAATTTAGTAAAGGCCTAAATAAAAAAAATTAGATTCGATTTGACTCGAATAATAGACAAGTCAAATTAAGATCTATAAGGTTAACCTATTTAATATTTGTGTCAGATTTCGATTGATTCAAAATACTTGAAACCAATATGGAAATAACCTGTTTAATCTAAAAATGCATCCTCTTTCTAATTAGCTTGTAATAATCCTCTACCTCAACAAGTCATATTCAGATTAACTGAGTTTTGTTGACAAAAAAAAAATTATACGAACAATATAATAAAAATGTTGCACGTGTCAGGTTCAGATTCATCAGGTTAGTGTCGTGTTAACTTTATGATATATATTATAACACATATGATAAAAGAGTTCGGTTCAAGTCGAGCTATTTCAAGTGAAATTCAACTCAAATTTGAACTTGACCCGTTAAACTGAATTGACACCTCTAACTAAGATGACTCCACTGAGGAAAGATGAACAGCTCTCCTTGTTTTATTTTAGGCTGTCAAAACACAAGCCATTTTACATGCAAGATTGTAATCATTGGTGCTTGCCTGGTTTTCCTAATACATGAGATGCCAATTCCTCGCATATGAATTTTGATAATGAAACTAGGCCAGGCCAATGAATATTCTTAGGCTTAATTTAGGAAGGCTTTTTCACAGCTTTTTAAAATAATTTTTTAATATAATAATTAAAATTTTTGTACTAAAAATTTATTTTAAGAAACAGTGAGAAAGCCGTCCCAAACGAAGCCTTAGTCTTGGTATGCTTCTTGTGTTGTTTATAGGAGCAAATTAGTGATTGTTTGAGGGAATAACACTTGGTTTGGATATTTCAAACATTATAGCAATTAACGAATTCAAGTTTTGTGTAATGTTATAAAATTTTCATATAATGTGTTTTTTAATATCAAGGACTGTAAGAGTGTTTAAATGTACAATCAAACATTTTTTTTTTTTTTTTTGCTTATTAATGGGTCGGCAATGAGTCATTAACATAGTAAAGTATGAATTATCCGTTTTGTTGTCCTTCACTAAGTTGACTTTGAGCTAACTCTATCCAATTACCGAATCGTCCGGAGGCTAATTAAGATGCGCCACGTCATTCGATACACAACGGTACTCAACACCGGTACACGTCAATAAGGTTACGTGACACATCCTGATTCACCTTTGAAAATCATTCGGTGTCCGCACGAAATAATTTATCGCAGGAAAGTAGCCTAAATCACACTCTTATACCTCTCATGACTAGTATATCTTGCAAAGACATCAATTTGAGAGCAGAATCTAATTAGCTTATTTGGGGCTAAAGTTGCTTCCAACTTTTAGGCTATTTAATAGTTATTGAGTCAAGAGGTCAGATGTCATTTTAAAATATTAATAGAATTTTTTAAAATAAAAATAAAAATAGAAAATGAATCCAAACGCTCATCAATATTTCAAGAGATAATTTTTTATTATAAAAATTTAAATTTTTATACAAAAGAATTGCTTTAAGAAGAAATAAAAAAGTCATCAAAAAAGAAGGGTAAGGCTTCATTTGGGACGGCTTTCTTACAAAAATTTTAATTTTTGTACTGCGAAGCTGCTTTAAAAAAAAAAAAACAAATCCGTCCCAAATAAAGCCTAAGTAAAAAATTTGAACTTCACGAGCACCATCCACTTGAACATCTCCCAAACAAATTTTGAAGCAATAACAAAGCAAAAATAAAAAATCTTCAGGAGCAGCAGCATATTCTCAGGAAATCCATGAAACTGGTTAATCATATTATTCATTTGAACAAAAAAATATATAGAAAGATCCAGACAAAGGCATCAGTGTTTCCAGCTGAAGCAAAAACTTATTTGGCTAACACATAATGGTGCTTTCACATCTTGTTGAACAAATGAAACCTTAAGGCAGAAAAGCAGTGGTACAGGAAAAAATCAGTAAACAAAATCCCCTTGCTAATGCTTTTCCCATTATCCCTGTTCTGCACGTTCATCTTTTGAATCCTTATATCTTCCACTTCAGTCCTTAAAATATATTTGAAGTCAGAAAGTTGTCGTGGAAAATAGAGGCTGATCTCATGAATCCTTATATCTTCCACTTCAGAGTCATAAGGGAACATTAAAGAGCTGTTTGGTTTGAAATAAAATAAATATAAAATATTCTAAATGAGAGATTTTGAGAAGATTAGGATTTGATTTGAAGTAAATCAAATGCAGTGTAAAATTTTAGTGTATTTGGAATTCAACCTATAGTTTATTTTGGTGTATTTGAAATTCTTTTGATTTGGATGATTTTCAAGAACACAGGAACTTCATTGCATGCCGTCGATTATTTTAATTTGAAAATTAGAAGGTGCATGCTTAGAGCTTCAGTTTATTTCAATAACAAAATCACAATAAATATAAAAAACCCACATGGCAATATAAATGGAAATATAATATTAGCAAAACCTTTGTTCAGAACAGGTAAGTTTGTTTTAAAAATTAACCCAAAATTTACTATATTTTTTTCAAACTAAAAATCTGCATAAACGTGAAAAGGTTGGAGTAGCTCTTGTGGAAGATAAGATTAGAGAGAGTCGTCTTAGATGGTTTGGTCACATTAAACGGAGGCCTTCTGATGACCCGATTAGAAAAGTTGAGGTATTGGATTGGACTTATGTTAAGAAAGGTAGAGGTAGACATAAAAGACTTGGTTAGAAAATATTAGAAATGATATTTCTTTATTAGATTTAAATGAGAAATTGACTTTTAACAGGACAAAATAGCGAAAAAGGATTCATGTAGCTGATCCCATGTAGGGGGACAAAGGTTTGATGTTGTTGTTGTTGTAAAATCTGCATAAAGTTTTGTTCACAAAGCTGGACAGCACAAATTTTTAGATTTTTATGCAATATAAGAACAGAAATCAACCCTATCTCCTTTTCCTTTATACCTAGCACCTAAAAGATAAACTGATAATCAATATTGCAGGTGCTCCAATTCAACACTGATATGATAACCTATTGAAAACATGGATCCCACATACCTAGTTGCACTTACAAGGTTAGAAGCATGCGCATCCATGGCCCTCCCTAACTGCTTACCAGTGGTCAAGTGATGCCTGTCATTAATCCATATCAAATGAGATATTTTTACAAGGATTCAGTTACTCTTCTATATAAATAGCCACAAACCCATCAAAACAAAATCAACTTGTTAGCCAGAATAACTACTGTTTAAGAGCTCATTACAGATAGTCACATAAAACATGGATTCCATAACAGAAACACGTACAAAACCACCCGATTGTCGAGATTCAGTTGTGATCCCGGTCGACGGCACCGAGATTTTGATTATTGAGAAGAAGAGGAAAGGATGGAGGGGCTTACAGTATGTTGCTCAAGTGATCCAGGTTGCAGATTATAAAAGGCTGGTTCATGCTATGAAGTTTGGGCTTGCTCTGGTGCTAGTCTCATTGCTCTATATGCTTGAGGCAGTCCATGATAAGCTCGGTGATAATGCCATGTGGGCTGTCATGACAGTTGTGGTTGTGTTCGAGTACACTGCAGGTAATTCAATTCTCATGCATTTTTTATTAAGTTTTTTTATTATTAGTATTAATGTAAAGTACACAGCTCATCTTGATTTGTTGGTTGGGAGCTTAGGCTACCAACTAAGAAATTTTGAGTTCGAGTATTGTGTATACGATGTATGTGTGAGTCTGTCTTAATTGGCCTAAATGTCCCAGAAAAAAATATTAATGTAAAGTAAAAATAGGTCGCTGAAGTTTGGAAAATGTTTGGTATAATGTAAATTTGAATCATTAAAATCTGAATTCTGATTAGAAGCATCAAAGGTTGAAAGAAGCTATCTAGCTATTTATGAAAATATTGATCATTCAGGAATCAGGATTTGAAGGTGCTCTTAATGTATATCCATATTGGCTGGATTCAGGGTTGCAATTCTCCTGCTAGGAGGAGAACAAAGTATTCCTTAAATGTATAAACAGATATTTTTATGCTGAAATCAGTAATAAAACCACAATAATAAATATATGCATCAATGTCCGTTTGATACCCATCCCACATTATAATGCACAATGGCTTCTCAATATATTTAAAAAAATATGTTTTCATGATAATGCAATAGCAGGATAAAGTAAAAGTATAAATATGTAAAATGATAACACATTGTTTTATCTATAGCTCAACAAAAATCTTAATATATTGGTATTCTCGCATGACAAAAAAAGGGTGTAATACACAATCTCTCTGTTAATACCAACTCATCCAGAATTTTATAATTGCTCTATTTAAGTCATGAAAGACACTAGAAAAATGAAAAGCCCAAATAATTAGAACACGGCAAATAATGATTATTATGATGTTGATGAGAAAAGTATAGATGTAATAGAATTTCTCTTTTATATATGTTTTTTTTTTTCACTGAGCAGGAGCAACTGTTACCAAGGGCTTGAACCGTCTAGTTGGTACTATTCTAGGGGGTGGACTTGGCTCCCTTGTTGCTATAATTGCTCAGGAGATTGGTGGAGTTGGAAAAGCTGTGATCATAGGCATTTCTATTTTTATCTTTGGTTAGTTCTTTTTCCTTAAATGGTTTTTCTTTTGAATATAGTCAAATTTTTTAGCTTCTACAACTGGATTCTTCCGTTATTAGAAATCGTGGTACTTGAAGTGAATTTAGACAGCACTAAGCCTAGGGGAAATATTCCATATATTCTGATTATATATGTATTTATGTCTATATATATATAAAGAATAGAAACAAACAAATGCTCAAAAATTTATTTTTGATGTTGTTTTTAATTTAATAAAAAGATCAAAATAGTTCATCAACACTTTAAGAATGACAAAAATAGTCCCCAACAATTTTTAGGGACCATTTTGGTTCCTCAACTCTTTAAAATGGGATCATTTTGGTCACAACATAAAAAATAATTGATGTTTGACTTAATGATGTTAAAATTAGGTGTATTTTCAAATAATTATAGTTTTCAAAAGAAATTTAATAATCATTAATCATTTGCTTAATAAGAAAAATTAATAGTATTTTTAATTATAATTTTAAAATTTTTAATCATATTTTATGAATTATGATTAGTAAATATATTTGTGATTAAATGAATATATAACTATATTTTTATAAAAACTATAATTTAAAGTTATTGTTATACAATAAATAATTACTTGAAAATTATAAAATATAACTAAAATTTTTAAATTTATAACTAAACAAACTTTTTTTTTTTGAGAAATTATAATTATTTGCAAATTATATCTAATAAATAGTTTATTAAAAAAATTACTAAAATATCTCTATTTTTAACACCATTAAGTCCAACATCCATTATTTTGGATGTTGGGACCAAAATGATCTCATTTAAAGAGTTGAGTGAGTAAAATGACCTTTCAAGATAGTTGGAGATCATTTTGGTCCTTCCTAAAGCGTTAAGGGACTATTTTGATCCTTTTCTCTTTTCTATTTCTACAAAAACAACACAACAAGCCTTTATCCCACTATGTGGGGTCGGCTACATGAATCCTCTTTCTATTTAAATATATTATATTTTCGAGCATTTGTACGTCTTCACTGCCCAAGGCAGTGGAATTTGGTAAGTTCGGCAACCATCACAGCTGAAGCATTATATGTACAGCCCAAATAACGAATTTCTTCTGTATGCACAGAAATTTTACTTTTGAAAAATTGCAATACCTTACCTCAAGGTGTCGAAGTGCTTGGTGATTGGACATCAACCCATTTGCTGTCTGCATGTCTCCTACAAATTTAGACAACCAAAAAAAAAATATAAAACTTGGTATAAAATAATGTCAAAATGTTTAACTAAGAATTATGCTTTAAGAAGGTAGAACAAATCGACATATCATATGTACAAAACATGTTTAACTGTTAAGTAAGAAAACAATTTAAGAATTAGTAGGCTAAAATTAATCTCATATACTATTTATCAATAGTAATATTCCATAACAAACAACATGAGATGCTTCATTATGAACTTAATCCTGTTTTAACCAAGAAAAACAGAACTCCTTCAATATTAATCTGAATTTCTTGATGATTCAGGTGCTGCAGCAACTTATTTGCGAACAATAGCAAACATCAAGAAGAAGTATGATTATGGAGTTTTGATTTTTATCTTAACATTAAGTTTAGTTTCCATTTCTGGTGTTCGTGTGGATGAGATCATTCAAGTGGCCAGTGCCCGCCTCTCATCCATATGTATGGGCTTTGGCATATGTGCTCACGTAAGCTTATTCATCTTTCCAGTGTGGGCTGGTGATGAGCTACATAGCTCATTGGCTTCTAAGTTTAATTCAATTGCACATTCTATTGAAGGTAATTTGTTTCAGAGTCCTTAAACTTGAAAATATTTGCATAAGATTCTGAAAAAGATTAATGTAAGAAAATAGTATAGGTTTCTGTTAGTAGTGGTTAACAACGTTATAATATTTGAATTAATATGTAGCTCCTAAAGTTAGATTATTAACGCTGTTCTTATTATGTAGATTGTATGAATGGCAAGAAAATGATGGGTGAAGCAAGAAAACCTTCAAATTGTTTATCTGTGCTTTCATCTAAAAGTATGGATGAATCATTGGTAAGTTTCCTTCCATAGTTCCTCTATTTGTTTTTGAGAACGTCCCCCATGATTTTGTTTAAACTAAATAATTCATATTAGATGATAACTACGTTGAGATGTTTATAAAAGAGTGAAGCATACTTCCACCTCAAAAGCAAAAAAAAAAAAAATGTAATAAACCAGTGGCCATAACTCATTGGCATAAATTTTTAGGTTACGTGTCCATCCACTGATATTTAGGGTTCAAATTTTCAAGATGGACCTCTACTGTTCCACCCTCAAACATGTCATAAGACAGCCCAAGGTTTGATTACAATAATAAGTGTTCGATATTTTCTGTGAATCCCATAGGGTAGAAAGTTTTTATCAAGGTCAAGTAAGATTCAAGGTGAGGTAAATCTAGGGCTGTCAAAATCGAATTTCGGGTCGAACTCGAATCCGATCCGAACCTGACCACACCCGATTTTGATTTTTCATTGATATCTTTATTTATCTAGTTATAATTCTACTAATGACAGACTTTTGTACACAAATCTCAATACCAAACAAGAGTGGGGATAGGTGATTCTTGATACGATCTTCTTGTCCTTAATAAGGCCTCAATTTTAACATCTGGTGTTCCATCCTCCTAACAAACCATATGGCTAGAGAAGACATTACTACATAAAGTTCCATGTTTACCTTTTCAGGCAAATTTTGCAAAATGGGAGCCATGGCACGGAAGGTTTGGCTTCTACTATCCTTGGAGCAAATACCTACAAATTGCAGGACAACTAAGAGAGTTAGCGGCTTGCATAACTTCTGCAGAAGGACATTTGAAAGCAAAACAAGAGGCATGAAAATATTCCTCTTTTCTCCGTATCTCAATAATACCTCATCAACTTTTCTCCAATCAATGATGAACATGGAGTGATCCACGCTACTTCTATGACAAAAATGATATGAATACTAGTGCTAACAAAGCTTTCTCTATTTGGTTGATGCTTGGCAGATATCAATAAACCCTTTACTGTTAAGCATCAAAGAGCAATGTGAAGCAACAAGCTTATTACTAGTAAACACAATGACACAACTTAGAGACTGTATCATATATATGAAGCAGTTTCCAAGGCAAGAACTTGTTTTAGAGGAGCTTCAGGCAAGGAGAGTTCAATTAAGTTCTCATATTCAAGTCTCTTCACTAGCACTTACCATTAACCAGAGTGCTGGTTCTGAAAATGGCATGAAAGGCAGTGGAGTTCGCATTGTGATCCAAGTCTTTTTATTGGTTGAGATTCTTGACAAGGTAGAACTGCTTGTAAAAGAGGTCAAGGAATTAGGGATATCAGCTGGTTTTGTCAACCAAACACTTGATGATAAGTGCTAACTGATGTTCCAACCAGTAAAAAATATCTCAAGATTCAGCTAAATATACAAAGTTGTTGTGGGATTAATGCAAGGAATATCGTAAAAGTTTATGATTTATCACTAATAGAAATGCTTCAGCAAATTTGGCTAAATATTTCTACTGTTTGTGAGGATGTTTATAAAGTCTATAAGTTCTAAAAATTAAAAAAATTGATCCAAGTACATTTTGCTATCCATAAAATTAAGCAAAAGCTTCTTGCAAAAATGGCCCAAAACAAAAACGAGTTAGTGATTCGTAGGAAAAGTAACGAAAGTTGATTCTACCATTAAATTAGTGTTGGATGCAGTGTTCACAGAGTCCCACTAGAATCTTACAGGTTTGAACTGAGAGCTTAATAAGGGAAGAAAAGAGAGAGAAAATATATGTAAAATAATCTCTTTGTTCGATTGAGAATTATAAAGTCCCATAGCAAAAAGCTCTGTGCCATAAATGTCACGACCCGGCCCTGAGGATTGAATTAACAAGGCGGGAACAGACGGTCGACTAGATTTTCAATCAATAACTAACTATTTCTAATAAGCAGAAAGAGCCACTAAACCTCAAATTTGAAACAGATTTAAACTAAAATCGTTTAAATACATTTCTTCAGGTGCGCCAAGCCTACGATACACATTCTTACATCTTCTATTTATATTGATTATATTAAATTATACCTAAAAAATATTAGAACAACTAAAAATAAGATGCAGCTCAATGAGTAAAACATACTTCTAAATTACAATGACACAAGATAATTGGAATAATATACATGAGTATTTCAATTCATATCATAAAATAATTACATTTAAATTCATTTTATTTCAAAACTTTCAATATTATGCATATACAATATCTTTATCTATATATTTCTTCCTTATCATAAATAATACAACCGTCACAGTAGCCACAATCTAATTTCGTACCAATGAAGGTACTCCTTTTCCACTTCCTTTTCTTTTTCCATAACATTTTCTATTTTCTTGCACGAGTACATTGCGTCCCTAGCCAGTTACATAAGATGGTGTGCTCTATCAGTCAACATGCAAATGCAATCACATATATCTAGTCATTTCATTCATATTACATTCATTTAATTTATGCTTTATGTAGTAATGTATTAATTTGTGAGAGATGAATCATTTACAATGCAGTTGGAATAAAAATAAGATAAAGTATTTGCAATAACAATTAAATGCAATTAGAAGCAATAAAATTACCATAACATAGAAACATGCTTACGCACCTTGATTAGGATTACTTGCTCCTAATATCCTTGCTCTGACTTCAATAAAATGACACCTATAATAATAATACAAGATTTCAAAATGTTATGTTAACTTATATATAATCATATATCTCTCTAATTAATTATTAATTACACTTAAATAGTTATTATTTTTAAATAAGAGAATTTGCTATCCTCTTTTTAACAGTTATATACATGAACTATGATTTAATTATCATTAATTTATAATATTTTCATATTTAACAACTCCACATTTTAACTTAAAATGCTCTCTTTAATAATTTTATTAAAAGAAATATCTCCTATGCTCTCACTCTCTAATTACATATTTATTTCACTAATTAAAATTATTTTTTTAAATGTCCATTCTCTTTTGATATATTTATTTAACTATATTTTCTTTATTATTCATTATAATTAATTTTCTTAATTATCATTTTCAGATTTATATCTTATTTAACTCTCATAAATTACATAATTTACCCTTTTTCTCTTTCTACTTAGTTATTAAACATGCTTAAATAGTTATCATATTTAATTTATTAAATTAGGAATGAAATATGTTCTCATTGTATTTTTTATTGAAATATGAATCAAAACTTATTTATAATATTTTTATAATTAATAATTCCTCACTTTAACTAATTAAATATACTCATATCTAGGGGTGTCAAAAATCTGACCCGACCCAAAAAATTCCGGGTTCGGGTCAACCCGTTTGCTATAGGGGTCGGGTTCGGGTTCGAGTTTCCAACCTGTTTGTAAAATCGAGTCGGATTCGGGTTGACACGACAACCCGAAATCAACCTGTTTTGACCCATCTAAACCAAACTAATTATCCAATTGCTGCATGAAATTAGGTCCAGTGGATCATAGAGCCCAATGTCAACGATCATGTCAGGGTCTCGTCAGTCGTCACGTTGAGCCTTCGAGGTTAGGCCAGCCATCTTCTGCCTAGGGCGAGAAGCAAGCCCCTCCCGCAGACTGCAGTCTTCTCTTCGCCGCCTTGCTCGCCTCCTTTTGGCCGCCGGGAGCTCGCCTGCCTCTGTGTCTCGCCACATCCGGACGTGCAAGCAACGTCGCAGCTCACGGCTCAACCGATCATGCATGTTTTTAATCCAAACGGGTCAGCGCGTCGGGTTGGGTCAACTCGGTAACCCGCGCGAGTCAAGTCCGAGTTGAAATATTTGACGTGTTTGCTAAAACGGGTCGGATTCGAGTTGACCCATTTAGATCCGGGTCAACTCGGATTCGACCCGAATTGACATCCCTACTCATTTCGATAATATATAAATATATATCTCAAATACCTTTATTTCAAAGTTAATAATTTAACTGAAATCCCTCAAATATACACTCTCCCTATTTATTTGCAATTAATTTCATAATTCAATTTGATTATTTCTAAGATATTTTAAATTTAATAAAAATATATTTTTCTCCTTTCAAAATTACATATACTATATAATAAATTATGTATTCTTCTTAATTAGATTCATACAAATTAACTAATTAGATTCATATTAACTAATTACTTAATTAAATCATGTACTCATATAATAACATTAATCTAAATTTTAATTTAGATAATTTTTTTGATAAATAGGAAACTCACCTCTTACTCTTTACTCATTCAATTCCAACCGAGCCCTAACGCCTACTTCCTCTATCTCATTCCTCCCTCTCTAATTTTTAGAGACGAAGCCAATGATGGAGCAACCCTAACCCTTCGGAGAGAGAGAGACAGGAGGCAGCAACTCAGGAGTATCGTACAGGATGACCATCACCTTGTTGAAATCCACGGAGCCAACACTGAATATTCTTCAGAGGACTTCGAAGGAAATGACTGCATGAGGAAAACCTGGGGACAACTTCAAGAAGCTCACAGAGACGAAATTACAGGAGAAGAGGACGAAGGGGCTTTGTTGACTGCTGAGGGATTTTCTTTTGATTTGTATGCATTAAATAGTTTGTTTTCCTAAGGTTGGGGCATCTTGAATTTGGTTGAATTTGTGATCTCTTATATTTTTCTTGGGCTCTAGCGGCATCTAGAGATTTGGGAGAGTTAGATTCTCGTCTCGAATAGAGGATCAATTGTATCTTGGTATTTTATGATTCCCTTTTATCAAATAATACAAATTATCTACTGTTTTCGTGGTTTTATGTGGATTTTTATGGAGAATTCTCGCTATTTTCTAATGATTGATAGGAAATACTTGAGATCTATAAGTGTTTCCTATCAAGAACATCATGTCAATGACATGTCATGTCAAGCCCAACTTTTTATAGATATGTCATGTCATGTTCATGTAGTCATATGTGTCCACACTTCATAGCACACAATTCATTAATGAACTTTAGTTGTTTCTCTACATTTTAGGTCAGGCTTCTTGAGTTCAGCTAGGCTTGTTTTGCACCCATATTGGAATCTATGACATGTTGGTTACCCATGGATGATCTTTTACTTGATTTGACAACGCATAGCTAATTTTGAGGATGTTTATAGGCTTAACAAAGACTGAGAAAGTGCGAAGCTTTGGTTGGGGTCAAATAAGGGGAGATATAAGCCCGAAACATAGATAAGTGACTCCTAACTTGGCGCTTTTCCAACTATAACTCCCACAGTAGCTCGACATAAACTCCCTCTCATAACAATATATCATGTCATTCCCTCTGTCATTGGGGCTATTGTGCTTATTTTTACTTGGCAATACGAAGAGGTTAACATCTTCCATTTGAGTTTTATGTAAAAAAAAATCCTGATATGGTTATTATACATTCCTAGATATTGTCAACAAATCTAAGAAAAGTGAGTGCATTAGCACTTGCTTCTTGTTCAAAGTTATTTTGACCTTAATGTTTTCATGGTGCCATGCAGCTTAAAAGTTTGATAATTTTCAATAGATATAATAATCACATACAATTGTATAGATGCAAGATAAATGAATCGTAGATTAGCTAAGACTGAAACTTTCTTATAGCAATGATCGACACTAAATATCAAAATAAATCTAAATAAAGCATTTAGAATATTAAAGACAACATATTTACTAAATGTGTGTACCAAAAAAACATTGCAAGTATAAAGATTACTGTTTAAAAATAAGAAAACATTTAATGTACATCCCTAGTAAATTGTATTAGTTATTGTAACTAATTATTCGACAAATGCTTTTCCTGCATAAGAGATTATTACGTGTGGAGTTTGGATAGAAGCTGCGTCCGGTTTTTATGAGTGTACGCAGTAAAAGACTGTGGTGAATAGAAATTGTACTTTTATTGCGCTCTTACTGAGCACACTCGCAAAAATCAGACGGTTCTCCAATCCGAACTCCGCACGTAATGATCTCTTCCTGCATACCTCAAAAGAAAATCTCACCTTTTGCCCGTTTAACTGCGATCAAAAGAAACTGCAGCATCATAACATTATAGCCTCACCGAACCATGCATATATTTTAAAGGTTAAAGAACGCTGCTTTGCCCAGCTTCTTTCTTCAACCCCCCACTCCAAATAGCTCTTCTCACCAAACAAACATCCTCCCATCGGGCATCATCTGCATAAATATTAGATATAAGAACTCTTCCAGCCCCATGTCCAGGGTCCAGCCTGGCCAACTTCTCTGCAGCCCTCTCTCCAATCTCAATTTTCTTGTGAGTTCTCGCAGAAGCAAGCAAGCTACCCCAAATGACCACATCAGCTTCCATAGGCATCGATTCTATCAACTTTTCTGCCTCTTCTAGATGCCCTGCCCGACCCAGGAGATCCACCATGCAACCATAATGCTTGATCGATGGCTTCAAATAATAAACACTCTCAATGGACTTAAAATACTTTCGACCAATATCTACCAATCCGGCATGACAGCAGGCACTCAGTACTCCTAAAAATGTGATTGAATTGGGCTTGATCCTTGTCTTCAGAAGATCTGAGAACAAGGCAATTGAAGCATCGGCATGTCCATGCATGGCTGAGCCACATATAACAGCATTCCATGATGAAATTCCTGCGTAAGTCTCTCTTACATAATTGAACAACTGGATCGCATTTTTTATGCTACCGCATTTTGCATACATGTCGATAAGGCTAGCACATAGGTTGTCAGTCAATGGGACGGAGCTTCTGTTGATGTAATCATGGAGCCATTTTCCTTCCTCCAAAGAACTGCAACCTGCAACAGCAGAGAGAACACTAAGCAACGTGATCTCATTGGGCTGTATACCCGCGCTCCACATTTCACGGAAAAGTCCTAAAGCCGTTTCATGATGTCCATGCTGCGCATACCCAGCAATCATGCTGCTCCATGAAACTACATCTCTTTCAGGCATTTCAGCAAACAGATGTTCAGCAGCAGCCAAATCATTGTTTTGCATGAACCCAGCAATCACAGCATTCCATGATGAGATATTTTCCTTGCTTCCGGACTGGAATTGCAAGAAAGCCAGGTCCATCCTACTGCATTCTGAGTATAAATGAATCAACGTTGCCTGCACAAACGGATGGCAATCCAAGCCCGCTTTAAGAATGACAGCATGGAGCTGCTGGCCTTCACTGATTGCAGAACGAAGGCTGCAGGAGGACACCAGGTTGACAAGCATCACCTCATTAGGCCGCGCATTAAAGTCCTTCAACATCTCACGGAAGGTTAATAGGGCTTCCTCCAAGCTATTAGAGAGAAGGTACCCATCAATCATGGTGCCCCAGGAAACCATATCCTTCTCGGGGATTCTATCAAAAACCGAAATCGCCGCTTTAATCAACCTGGCCTTTGCATACCCTTTCAGCAGCACGTTCCACGTGACCGTGTTCTTCTCCGACATCCCACCAAAAACCGCCTCCGCATCGTCAAAGTTCGAAGATACAGCGTAGTCGTGAACCAGATTGGTCGCGACCAGAATTAATTCGTCGAGTCCGCACTTCACTGCCACCGCATGTGCCATCTTCCCCATCCCGATGGCGGGGTTTTTTAAGCGGGAGCAGGAGGAGATGACACTTGCCAAGGTGACTTCGTTCGGGGTGACGCCAGCGGCCATCATACTGCGAAAAAGTACGAAAGCTTCGGCGGCAGAACCGTGCCTGGCGAGACCCATGATCATGCTGGTGAAGGAAACTTTGTCCTTGTGGGGCATTTCGTCGAACAAAGAGCGAGCATGATCGAGGTAGAAATCAGGACGGGAGCATCGGAAATGTGCAGCTAGCATTATGTTCCAGGAAGCGGTGTTAAGAAGCGTGGCTGAAAGAAAGAGCTGGCGGGCGCATGGAAGGTGGCCACAGCGTGCGTATAGGTGGATGAGGGCGTTGCTAACAAAGAGGTTGGACCGGAGAAGGCCGGACTTGAGGGCGAGGGAGTGGAGCTGCTCGCCGGAGGAGAGCTTAAACGAGGAGGCAGCTGACTTGAGAGCAGAGACGAGGGAAAATGAGAGACCCGGCTGGTTGTTCGAGGACGTAGGTGAGGACCTCTCGAGTTGCGTTGGGCATTGCATGTCTCGGTGGACAAATACGCTAAGCACACATTTTAGAGAAAAGAGCAAATCAATTGGATGATTCTAGTTATATTTTTAATAATATTCTTATGATTGTCTCTGTTATTTCTATTAAGAATGAGGAAATTTTTAATATTTTTGGGGATGGTAAGCAGTGTCTTTCTTTTAAGATGTTTCATATTGGTAGAAATTTTATTGAGAAATTTGTAGTTAAGTGTGCTTATTCTGGAGATATCAATGAGCGACCTCCTCGAAAGTTACACCAATGTAATAAAATCGTGAGGCCCTTTGATCAAAGCGGACAATATCTAAATAGCTAAGAGTTTGAACTGTTATAAATGATATCAAAGCAATACACCAATTAAAAGATGGAAACTAAGGCTTTGTATGACAAGCTAGTATTGAATATTTATGTTAGGAATTTTACAAATTTTAGTACTATTGTATATGGTTACTCTTATGAAAACATAATTTGACTATATTATAAATTGCAAAGCTATTTTTAGAAATAAAAGAATTGTCTAAGTTATACTCTATTCTTAACCATGCCATCTTGGACTAAAGGGTTTTTAATATCCAGTAAAATCTTTCAAATGGGAATAGACTATATTTTAAGGCAAGATGAAAATGTGATAGCATAAGCTTTTATATTTCAAAGCTTATAATAAGAAAATTTGTCCTAAGAATTGTTTTTTCAATAAAATATTATTATGTTTACATTGAAGATATGAATACACCAAGTGCGTGGGATTAATATATGCGAGACGTATGAATATCATTATAGTAAAAATGTTTATTCTTTCATATGAAATAAGGGCAAAGAAGGCGCCTTTAATTGATAAATTACTTTGACCTAAGTATATAGGAGGGTTTATATAATCACAAGTGAGATTTTTGTGGCTCTAATAATGCTTGATGATGGATGGATTTGTATCTTAAAAGTATGCGTAGTGTTGGACCCATGTTCCTCTAAACTGTCCCAACCCGACCCAATATAACCCATAGTGAGAATGAGTCATATCGCGCCAGATCATGGAAGGATGGAGATCCTAAGATCCAATTCAATTATATTTCAAATAATTTATAGACTGCACAACCACTAAAATTTTAATTTAAAACACATAAATACTTATCATCAAAATCCTTTTTCATTTATCTAAAAAATATTTACTATCAAAATAATTTATATACAAACAAAATACATGACATAAACAATACATATCACAAAGAAAAGTCATGGCTGTCAAAATATATCTAATAGACATATATGGACTCCTTTCTCTACTCAGCCCCCCTCTTCCTCTTATTCATACCTAAAACAAATGCAAAAGAAATCATAATCAACCACAATTCAATAGGCAACATTATACCTACTCCGTCTTTAATAATCATAGCTACCAATAATAAAGCATAGATAGGAGAGTAAAACAAATTCATATGTACAAAGTCCAACCAATTTGCTCAGAATAAGCAAATACCTACAAAGCAATAAAGAACAGATTTAATGCACAAATCATAATTATCAAAATATTAGAGAAGTATAATAGTATCATTGATATGTCATCATGAAAATATCTTGACCGGACACGAATCTCGAGGCAAAACCCAACCTGAAAACTTCAAAAATTAAATCTGAGAGCACCTGAGCTCCGATTTCAGCGATTTTATAGTCGAACTGATCCTCTTTGAAATACAAACCCAACAACAACAAATTCAACTCAATCCGAGTCCAAGTGAGCCCAAATCAACCGCCCGGAGTGCTGTTGGAAAGCTCGTACCACAATTTGAGTTACCAAACGATCTCTGATTTTAACGATCTTATACTCAAATCGAGAGGCTCGACGAGACGAATCCAACGAGCCCAAGATCACCGAATTCCGACATCACTAAGGCCTTCAGTTGTCCAACGAACTGTGCACAATCGAAGGATTCAACATCAACTGTCCATTCGACCACTCCCTATTCACCCCTGATCTCACACCTATTTACGGGCTATGCCATTCTAGAAAAAACTATAAATAGAGCCCTCATTCTTCATAAGAGTCCAAGAGGAGACGAAAGCAAGAAGAAGAAGGGAAGAAGAAGAGAAGGGGAAGGAGAATTAGCTCCTCCTCGACCACCGTCTGAGTTCTTCCCGCCGCCAGAACACGCTGGGATTCTGCCGGATATTTGGGAGAAGGCCTGAATTCTGCCCAACTTCCATGAGATGCTAAAATTCTTCTCAATTAATGACAGAGTTCCTTCCTCACGTCGAAACTCCGCCCAAGTGATGTCGGAGTTCTCCTCGGCCACCAACAGACGTCGGACTTCTACCCGACGTCAGACCTTCACTCTTCGCCAAATTTCTACCAGACACCGGACTTCTATCGGTTAATTACAGACTTTCGCTGGACGTATATCCGAAGATGAATTTCTTTCCATTGTTGGACTTCTACCAGACGCCGTCCTTCTGACCTTCATCTTCAGACATAGTCCTTCCAGCCTCCGTCGCAAGGCAACTGTCCTTCTGACCTCCGTCGCCAGCCGACTACAGTCCTCCTGACTTATGTCGCCCGCCGACTACGGTCCTTCTGACTCACATCGCCCATCGACTACAGTCTTTCCGACCTCCGTCGCCCACCAACTACGGTCCTAATGACTTATGTCGCCCGCCGACTATAGTCTTTTCGACCTCCTTCCCTCGCCGACTACGGTCCTCCTTACTTATGTCGCTCGTCGACTACAGTCTTTATGACCTCTGTCGCCCACCGACTACGGTCCTCCTTACTTACGTCGCCAGTCGACTACAATCTTTCCGACCTCCGTCGTCAGCCGACTACAATCCTTCCGACCTCCGTCACCCACCACCGACTACAAGCCTTTCGACCTCCGTCGCCCGCCGACTACAGTCTTTCCGACCTCTGTCGCTCGCCGACTACAATCTTTCCGACCTCCGTTGCCAGCCGACTATGATCCTCCTTACTTATGTCGCCCACCGACTACAAGCCTCCCGACCTCCGTTGCCCGCCGACTACGGTCTTTCCGACCAAACGAACATGTCAACAATGACTCTTTATATTAACATCATGTAATGCACTCCACAAGATGTACATCAAGCTAAGGCCTTCCCCCAAGGAAGGACCTCATTTGTAATCAACTACAATACTAGTGGATTCAATCAAACTGGGCTAGGCCCCATGGTTTTTTACTTTTTTCCCCCTTTTCAGGGCGTTTCCATGTAAAAACATTGGTGTTTCATGTGAATGCTACACACTCTCTCTTATCTGATTGCGTGTCGGATTTCGTACAACGCTAAGACGTTAAATATGATATTTCTCTACCGTCGCGAATACTCCTGGACGCAACAATCATAATAATAATGTAAGAACCAGTTTAAACTACCCGGTTTAACCATACCTAATGTCTAAACTCCGCGAACTAGCAGAGATGGAACAATGGGCAAAGTCGCCACATAAGCGGGCCGAACGCAAGTGAGGGTGAGATTGGAAGGCTCGGTTCGCGATTTTGGGCAAAGGATCATATAACGGGATGAAAGTAAAAGGCTCCTCTTTAAGTGTGACTTCCTCCTCTTCATTCATTTATGGCTAAAGAAGCAAAATTTGGAAGAAAAGGTAGTGAACAAGAGGAAGAAGAAGAAAGGAGGTTTATTTGTAAAAAAAAATCTATTTTGTATAATTCTTTCGTATTACTTCATCTAAACATCGAGGGATGTTTCATTAAGGGCAAAAGGACGATATTTGAATGCGGGGAGGAATAAATTTAGAAAGAAAGAAAAGGAATTTGAGTTGGAAATTCATTCTTTTCAAAAGCCAATGGAAATGTAAGTGAACTTCAGAGTTTCAATTTTATTTTTTGCTCAAACCTATTATTTTGATGGAAAGTAACAATATCTGAATTTCAATAAGAAGGAAGTTCATGCTTGAAGAAATTTTGTGGGTGAAAATTTTAATTTAAAGAGAAAGATAAGAAAACATTGATATAATTATAAGTGCATGAGATTTTTAATAGGTGTTGTAATTATATTAGTTAATTCCTTAATGTTATTGTTAGCAATGATTAATGCAAATTAAAGGTAATTTTGGAACAGTGGAGAATTGGTTAACTTGATGTATGAAGGTGACAGCTGAAACTAATAATATATATCAAAAGGGAGATTTGAGGTAAGAATTTATTTAAAGAAATATTTATATGAAAATAGTGAAAGTTAAAATGTGGTAATAGTTATATGTTTGTCAGTAAATTTAGATTGTTGTGAGGAAGATTGTCTCAAGAGTCGAAAGTTTGAAAGGAGCTGAAGCCAAAACATTCAAAGTGGGGTAAATGATGTTATTTTTATAAATATTCTATGATTTTATTTTATTTCATACAGTCTCATGATTATTCATTCAATTACAATTATTTGAAGGTTAATATATTCATAAGATCATTAAAGTTATAAGTATATATATATCTGTGTGTGTGCGCGCGCGCGTGCGCATGTGCGTATGCGTAATATATGAAATGTGTGTATATATAAATTTATCTACATGGAAAAGAAGAAGAAAGCATAATTTTGAAAATGTATATTTAAAATTTTCTAAAATATATATAAGACTGTCACGACCCGGCCCGGTTAGCTCGCAAGTGCGAGGCGGGAACAGAGATCGGACATAAAGAAGATAAAAGAAACATTACAAGACAATTAATATAACTCCAAAATGAATATAATATGAAGTAATTTATATAAAAAATAAATTATAAAATTTATAGTATATGAAAGAAGATGCATATAATAATTATGTAAGAAAGTTAAAGAAGAAAGATGTATGTTTATTTATGACTAAATATTGTATATTTGATGATTATTATCCACTCAGTTTACATTATAAACTCAACCTTTTCATGTAAGTCTATAGAGAAGTAGAAACGACTGAAAGGGAGGAGTATGACTATAGAAGACGGTGCCATGCAAATGAAAATAAGTAATTTAAGATTGATATAAATATTTAGATAAAAAATTGTATCATTAGTTTTATGAAAATTTGGTAATTGTGGCTCCTTAGTTCTATTGAGAAGTTGAATGTTAAATTTCTTATGAAATTGAATGAAATGTTGCAACCGTCCGGCTTTTCGTTCCGCCTCGTTAATTTCGTGTATTCATGCCAAGTTGTGATAAATAAATACTTCATATTCATTTCCCATAATATATAATTTCCCTCAAGCTCTTATACCACCCAATATATATCAGAATCAAACATTTATAACTCTATGTGCTAGCATATCAGGTAACAAACCCTTATAATTTTCAATATTTAATAGCTATTCAGAGATTTCAAGCCTTAATATGTGTTATGATTTTCATATAGAAATTCTTTTGGAAGAGAGGCCCACAAGATAACTGTTCATATAACGACTCCTTTACAACCAACAAACTCATCTATTTAGAATTAGGGAATTTTTTTTTTTTAATTAAAGTGATCTTATCATTTAATATAAATACTAAGATTTTATTAACAATAATAATTGCTAAAATATGATAATAATTTTCTTTATGTGAATTTTGAGTATTATAGGCTATAGATAAATATAATTTAATATTTAGCTCTTAAAAAATTAAATTTGTGACCCAGCATTACAACACTCAAATCCTTAGCGTTGAGCGCTCACTAAATTTTTTGTAAATCCATGATATTGCTGTTGCAATGCCAATGTCCAACACCGCCATGCCGCTGATTCGAGAACTCTCTAAAAAAGAGGAAAGTTTCACTATGCCTTCAAGTACAACATAGCAACACTCACAAACATAGCACTGTTGCAGCGCTCCTATTCAAAATTTCAAGATTACAGAAATTTTGATATAGTAACTATTCATTAAAAATCTTGGATAATTACAACTACATTTTGAAAGCTTTTATTATACATGATACATCATAAAAATATTCTCTTGATCGGGCACAAATCTCGAGGCAAAATCAAGTTGGAAACTTCCAAAATTAAATCTAGGACCATATGAACTCCGATGTTTCACTATGCCTTCAAGTACAACATAGCAACACTCACAAACATAGCACTGTTGCAGCGCTCCTATTCAAAATTTCAAGATTACAGAAATTTTGATATAGTAACTATTCATTAAAAATCTTGGATAATTACAACTACATTTTGAAAGCTTTTATTATACATGATACATCATAAAAATATTCTCTTGATCGGGCACAAATCTCGAGGCAAAATCAAGTTGGAAACTTCCAAAATTAAATCTAGGACCATATGAACTCCGATCTCAGCAAACATATAGTCGAACTGAGCATCTCAAAGACACAAACCCAACTACACCAAATTCTACTAAATCCGAGCAAAAAATAGTTCAAATCAAAGACCCGAAGCACATTCAGAAGGTTCAATCCATAATTTGAATTACCAAACAGTTTCCAAATATGGCATGCTTATAATTGAATCGAGCAGCTCGACGAGACAAATCTAACGAACCCAAGATCGTCAAATTTTGATATCATTAGAGCATTCAAATCCCTGAAAAATGATTCATGATCAAGGGATTCAACATCGGCCGTCCATTCAAACCACTCCCAATTTATGCCCGATCTTCCTCCTATTTACTGGACATGCTATCCTCATAAAACTATAAATAGCCCTCATTTCTCTTAAGAGGGGATCCGAGCAAGAAGATAAGAGAAAAAGAGAAGGAGAGAAGAGAAGGAAGAAGCTCCTTCTCGACCACTTCCAGGGTTCCTCCCGACTTTCAAGTGACGTCGGAGTTCTGTCCGACCTCCAAGTAGCGTTGGAGTTCCTCCCAGCTTTCAAGTGATGCTGGAGTTCCGTCCGAACTCCAAGTGACGCTAAAGTTCCGTCCGACTTTCAAGTGACGCTGGAATTCCGCCCATTCTTAAACTAACGCTGGAGTTCTGTCCGACTTCCAGTAATGCTAGAACTCTGTCTTACAATCAACGAACACTAGTTTTATGATGCCATGATTTTTATATCCGTTTGCAACTGAATTTCAACCTAAGAGTTGATTGTTTTAGTCTGATCGCTATAAATTTTAAGGATGAGTCGGTTTCTTGTAACTCAAGAAAACAGTGGTGGAATTCTTTCAATTGGGTGTGGCCCCGTGGTTTTTCCCTTTATAGGATTTTCCATGTAAAAATCTCGGTGTTTTATTTCTCTTATGTTTGTGTGCTGAATATTTGTATAATGCTGAGACGTAAAATTCTAATTCTATCATTGCGTATATTCTAGCATGCAACAGTTTGACGTTATCTGTGGGAAAAACTATCCCATAATTTTAAGTGTTGTTTCGATGGCTAACAGACATATCAATTGTATCTTGGGAGCTCCTTCATGCTCCAACTCCCACAAATTTATGAATCATGGGCGTCCAATATTTCTCTTTTTATCATTGGGGGCAAAATGCTGCTGAGAAGGAACCTCAAGACATTCCCTAGAGGGGCGAATCCAAAAGATGGAAGAATCTCAGAACGATATCCTTCAACTTTTGCAAGAGACCCGACAACCGACACTAACAACACAGAAGGATATTCTTCTCCATCGAGATCCACCGCTAGGCGAATGTGTTTAACTCGAATATATTCAAATAGAGATTAATTTTCCTTCATCATGGAGGCACCTACAATCACATCAAGACAACGAACTTGCTAACACAACAAGTTCTACCAATCTTTCACACACATGTCGGCAACCTCGCATTCCTCCATACATCCCAGAAGGCTTAGCCCGACATGGGGTCTATCTTGAGAGCACTGTAGCATCATTGTCTTGAGTGTTGCGATGCAAGGTCAAATTTTTATAAAAGTATCAAAATCCATTGAAATTCTCATTTTTGCCAAAATCCCTCTAAGCGAGGCAATCAACTAAAACGAGAGAGGGAGATAATTTTTAGAGAGGCAAAATAAGATTTGGGTCAACTCCTTTCTTAACTCTAGCTTTTAAATTAAATGTTTTTGAAGGATTTTGGAATATTAAAAGTAAAGTGACTAATTTTGGACATTTCATGACAAATTATATAATAATGAGGATAATCAATATTATCGTGGATCAATGACAATGTGGCATGGGCAGTGGTGGTGATGGACGACAGTGCAACATCCAATATGATGATGAGAATCAATGGTGGTGATGACAATGATCGAAAATGATGTCCGTGACGGTTTGATAGGATGACGACGGGTGCTGAGTTAGTCGGTGAGAATTTTTATTTTTTATTTGGGACAATTAGGCCATTTAAGGCAAACTCACACACACAACACATACAAGGACTCGAACCTTGGACCTCTTAGTTGGAAGCCTAAGCTTTCAACCAATAGGCCAAGGAGAGTTGTGTGGTGAGAATTTATTTATTTGAGTATTTTAAAAAGTAATTTGATTTATTTTAAAAATAAAAAATTACAAAAACTAACAAAAAAAGAAGAAGAAGAAAATAGGTTATAAACCAACGAGCATGAAATACATTGATGCAATCAAACATCCCTTTATTCCTATGATTAATCGGGCTTCAACACACCAGCACTGAATTTTCTGAACTTTTATTACGTCCGGTGTAAGGACGTAGAGGAACGTCCGGTTGGAGGCAAAATCCCGCCAAAAAACTCGGTATTTGCTTGGTACAACTAGGTATTATTTGATATTAACGAAGAATACCGCTCTTTGAAGACCAATACCGAGTTATACCGGGCTGTACCGAGAAATACCGAGTTGTACCGAGTTTCTCTAGGAAATACTCGGTACAACTTTTGTATAACTCGGTATTTCTCGGTTTAGCTCGGTATAACTCGGTATTAGGTCTTCAAATGGGCAAATTATTGGGTCAGGTGACCGAACGCAGAGATAGGTCCGGATATTAATAAAATATTATTTTAAAATTAGCGCAACTAAAGCGCAGGTAAAACGCAACTAAAGCGCAAGTCAAAAAGCGCAACTAAAGCGTAACCAAAGCGCAACTAAAGCGCAACTAAAGCGCAAGTCAAAAAGCGCAACTAAAGCGCAAGGTGACGCGGCAAATTTTAATTGGATGTCCGAACTTATATTCCGCCTCCGGTCACCTGACCCAATAATTTGCCCTTCAAATGATGGTATTCCTCCTTATTGTTTGGTATTGCTCGGTATTTGTTGGGTACAACTAATTTTTTTGACGGGATTTGGCTTCTGTCGGGACGTTCCTCTGCGTGCGTCCGGTCGGACGAAGTAATAATTGTTCGAATTTTGTACGCAGGAGAGCGCTTCGTCAGTCCTCTCGCAGCCAAAATCCCGTCCTTAGGAACCGGCCGCCTCCTGCGATCATAACCTACATTCAAATGGACTGCGCTAGCCGGCTACTTGCTTTGCTACTCCTCTTCCGCTTTTCAATATTTTGCGAGGCTTTCTATCACAGCCCGAATGAAGGTGTTTATTCCTTAAAGTATTTCTTATGCTCCCTATCCATCTCCTTCTCCTCCCACAATTTCATTTTATTTTATTTTTTCGGTTATCCACAATCTGTGTATCTTCTTAGTTGTTTTATGCATCGAAGTGGGCAACGATACTATTTTGTTTATGCACGCTAGGTTTTACACGATACGGGATTGATCGCTACCTTCTTTTCTGAAAAAAGAAAAAGAGAAGTTGAGAGAGGTTTTCATTTATAACTCGTTGTTCTTCTCTATTATACTTTAGGCATAGGTTTTATTTTGCTGAGTGTTATTTAGTTGGCAATTGTATTGTTGCGTGCCTGCGCTGCGGCGGAGAGAGATATAGAGTTTAAGGAAAATTTAGCACACATAAAGATGAGAGAGATGGTGCAATAATCATAATATACTAGAATTCTTATGTGAAGATCCTTAAAAGGAGAAAACTCATGGGGCCTTGCCCAATATAAATGAATATGCTAGTGTTTGTTGTTGATTACAAGTGATGCCCTTTCTTGGGGAAAGACACTGGCTCAATGTAGAAAATACATATCATATAGAGTACATCATAGACTTGAGCTTGATTAATTAATCGAGTTCGAGCCGACTCCGTTTATTTTGAAAGAGAGAAAATGCTTATAATTCAAGCAATTGTTATAATAAAACGTTAAAAAAATAAGAAACTAGAAGAAAAATAACGAAGAATCACTTAATATTAGAAAATGAGATGTAATTTAGAAGCATTTATAACAACTTTGTATTTAAAATATTGAATACTAGTATATTTTAAATGCATTTTATATTCATATTTTTAAACTAGCCGGTTTGCAATATAATGAGTCGAGTTAGGGCTTGCTCAAGCTTGACAGGTAAGCTCTTCGAGTTTGGCTCATAAGCCATTTATCGAGTTGAGTTCGAGCCGGCTCACGAGTCGATTTGAGTCACTTATACCCTTACTTGGGAAGGTCTCTACATCATCAAGGCACAACTCGGCTCCAACACCTATTAGCCACAAATACATAGCAGATGAGAGCTGCCAAGAATATGGAGCGTTGAAGACCTCATGATATTTTATCCATAAAAGGGAAACCCCTCTATACTCATATATTGCATTTATATTTGTATTCTTCTTAAAAGGCAATAAGAAGTCTTCCTTCGTCGCTTTCATTTTCTCATTAACGAGTGAGTCATTCATGTAAAAAATAGTTTTGAAATCTTCAAAAGCACTTGAGAAACTCCCGTAACCTTGAAAGCTAAAAATAATATAAAGGACTCACCCATATATAACGGTTTCCCCGAGCGCTCATGGAACTTGGGATGCTAAGAATTGGTGCGTGACCACATGCATAGACGAGCTTCTGATATAACTAAAAGAAAGGGATCCAATGAGTCTTATATGCACAAACTGCAATAACAGGCGTGACCAATAATGGTGGGAAATAACTAAGTCACTAGCAAGTTTCAAGCGAGAAAAACAAGTTGAACTACTCATTATAGGAGAGCTTCGACCCCCTGACAGTCAAGATCTACGAGCGAGCCAAAGCCACCAAGCGAAGGAAAGTTGCCTCTCTAGCGAGGTCTGCCCCTTATTCCCTCCCTACCATGTAGCTAAGGCGAGCCACACCCCAATTCGAAAAGTTCTCATCATAACAAGCTCACCATTGAAAGAATAAAAGGAAAGGGAAAATAAACATATACGACTATAATGAAATCCAAATATTCAATGAATCCTCACTTGCCTCCATATATGCATTCATGCGATGTGTTATACAGACCCTTGACAAAATGAGAAGTTGTCACCTGGAAAGGATGCCAACTGACCAACAAGCAAATTGAGCGAAGATGCCCTAAAAAGAGTTCTACCTACAAAGCTCCTAGATACCAAATCTATTTCACAATCAAGTCTGATGCATTCCTCCACTTCAACCATCCAACTTGAATTCTGCTGATAATATCCCCATCTATTTCACAATCACTTTGAACAATAGATCCAATATATCTAAAATGTGTATTCTTATTAATGACTTGATCGCTCAAAGTCACAATCATTTCACTAAGTCTATTGCTACTAAAATTACACTCAATATATTCAGTTTTAGTTCTACTCAAGCGAAAGCCTTTAGACTCTAAAGTTGACCTCCATAATATGAAGTAATTTATATGAAAATAAATTACAAAATTTATAGTACATGAAAGAATATGCATAAATATGTAAGAAAGTTAAATAAGAAAGATTTATGTTTATTTATATGACTAATTGTTGTATATTTAATGATTATTACCCACTGAGTTTACATTGTAAACTCAACCCTTTAAACTAACATTTTCAGGTAAGTCTCCAGAGAAGCAGAAATGATTGAAAGGGAGGAATATGTCTATAAAAGACAATGCCATGCAAATAAAAATAAGTAATTTATGATTGATATAAATATTTATATAAAAAAAATGGTATCATTAGTTTTATGAAAATTTTGTACTTCAGTTGTATTGAGAAGCTGAATGTTAAATTGCTCATGAAATTGAATGAAATTTTACAATCGTCTGGCTTTTTGTTCCCGTCTCGTTAATTTTGCGTATCCAGGCCAGGTTGTGACAAATAAATTCTTTATATTCATTTCTCAGAATATAACATTTCCTTCAAGCTCTTATACCTCCCAGCATATATCAGAATTCAGGCATTTATAACTCCATGTGCTAGCATATTAGGTAACAAACCCTTGTAACTTTCAATTTTTAGCACCACAAATATTCAAAGATTTCAAGCTTTAATGTGTGTTATGATTTGCATATAGAAATTCTATTGGAAGAGAGCCCCACTAGATAACTGCTCCTATAACTCACTCTTACAGCCAACAAACTCATCTATTTAGAATTAGGGAAATTTTTTAATTAAATTGATCTTATTATTTAACATAAATACTAAGATTTAATTAACAATAATAATTGCTAAAATAAGATAATAATTTTCTTAATAAAATTTTTATTTTATTTACCTGAATTTTGGGTATTATAGGCTATACATAAATATAATTTAATATTTAGTTTTTAAATAATTAAATTTGTGACCCAACATCACAACGCTCAAATCCTCAGCGTTCGAGCGCTCATTGATTTTTTTGTAAACCCTTGAGATTGTTGTTACAACGCCCATATCCAACACCACCGTGCCGCTCATTCTAGAACTCTCAGAAAAAGATGGTAGTGCCATTGTGTCTTCAAGTACAACATAGCAACATTCACAAGCATAGCACTGCAGTGCTCCTAATCAAAATTTCAAGATTACATGAATTTTGATCTAATCACTATTTATTAAAAATCTAGGATTATTACAACTACATTTTGAAAGCTTTTATTATACCATGGTTAAATTTATAGGTGTCATAATATTTTGGCAAATCATTAAAATGACATATTTTCAAAACTACCTAAATGAAAATTTTCCAATAAAATATTGGAATGTATAAAATATTGTCAACTAAAATATTTCAAATGTTACGCGGTGGAAAGTTACTCATTGAGAGGATATACCTAATATTACGTGAAAATGGAAATTAAAAGGTTAAAAAATTCTGAAAATTATGAATTATTAAAAATTAAGATAGACAAAACTTAAGGTGTCTTGGTCCATACAATTTTTTCAAACTGGCCCAATGGACAAAATCAAGACGAAGTTGTTCGAATAGACTTTTTCTCTCTAGAATTTATCCTACATAGACTATAATTGGCTTCCTAGGGGAGAAATTGATTTGGCAAATGATATTTTGAGTGGAATTTGATTTTGTATAAAATATTTGATGCTAGTGCAATGGCGCTTAGAGAGTTATCACCGCAATGCTACCCTATAATCTTAGCAAACAGAGAGCACGGTGCAACAATGCCCATAGCTAGCGTTACACCGCTCTAGAGTAGACCAAGTCTGGTAAAACTTGACCTTTAGCATCGTGATGATTCCAAGGGATAATTTTTTTATTCAGATTTGATTCTCACAGACCCTCGAGACAATCTTTATAACAGAATTCATGCATTCATGCACATACAGAATATTCATAGACATGTGTAGAATGAAAGTGTAGAAAATTTAAACACAAAAGACTTACCTGATCAGGTTCATACCAATTCAAAGCACCGCAACAATCAATGTTATATAAAAGAGGTGATTATAAATGTCTTCCTTCTGAGTAGCTGACATTGTATAGGTCAAATGAGACACATCACACTAAGAGCAAATCTCCAAATGGTGGATGATGGGCCATCTAATGATTCAGGGGCTTTGGAAGTATACAAACTTGATAGGGTGATGTTGAGGACTTCAATAAATCATTGTACATTGGTGGATATGACACATCTTTATAGTGCTTGAACTAGGAAAGGTATGTCATTAGTTGTTCAACGGGACATCTGAAGATGCCTCGACACATGTTGGAAGAAATCCATGGAAGTCATCAACATGGCAAAGAAGTTTGGGGAACCGACTTTGAGAAGTTGGCAAAAGGTTAGCTACAAAGAAGATGTCTAATTAGGCGATTTGGGATGCCAAAAGGAAGTTTAAAATGAAGAAGTATGGCAAGATGGACAAGCATATCAAGGAATTCAATAGCTAGAAATGAGTTCTTGGTAAGTGATGCAGAGTTGGACATCATGTATGGACTTTTGTTGACAATTATGAGGGTGTTGGTTCTTATGGTTGTATATTGTGTTGTGATTTTAGTTCAATTATCAAAGGTCATATAAATATTGAACTAATTTTAGGCTTAGACTATGCCTGCATCAAGCTAATTTTAGGCTTAGGCTATGCCTACATCAAGCCAATTATTTGTTCAATTCAATCTCTGAGGCAACTTTTTAGCTAGGCTTGATCTTAATTTAAGAAAGATCCAAAAGTTAGTTGATATAAAGTAAAAAATATTTATAATAAAACAAATTTAAGGGCATTCATTAATGATTTAATGGATAGGACTATTAATGACCCTAATGGTAATATGTTGTGTAAGGATGTAG